ATCATGATCACTTTTGAGAAAATGGACACTAATTACCATCACAGGCTGGTAGCCACAGCTACACGAGGCTTTCATGGAGATGCATTCTGTGAGCAAACAGGAAGTCAAGGGAATCTGGGGCCAACACCGAAACTGAGATATCAGATGGTGGGGCTAGAAGGAAGTGTCCACATCTGGACACCAGTTATGGATCTGAGAGGGAAGGGCATGCCCTGCTGAAGGCAGCTGAGTTAGAGGAAACCTCCCCAAAGAAAGTCCCAGACTTACCTGGCCTACCATCTCCTTTTTCAGATTGAAAAGTCACTTGGAACCACCAGGAAATCTGTATTCTTTAATACAGAAACAAGTAGGAAGAGTTTCCCAACTGTACCCCACCCCTCTGGCAAACACTTTGTGACTAGGGGTAGAGCTGACATCATCACTTCCAAAATTGGGGCCACATGCCATTTGGGGTCATGCAACTGAATATGGGGTCAAGAAAAATCATCTTAAACGTTGGTTTTAAAATGAACTTTTTTTATGATTGATTAAAAATATTGTACACCTGGGGTCATGTAAAAATGTCTCCGGTAAAGAGGGGTCATGAGTAAGAGAAGCTTAAGAAGCCTTGTCCTGCAGATCTGGGGTGTCTCCTCCATGACATCGGGATGTATCCACATGATATCAGGGTGCTGTTTCTGCCAGAGCTAGATTGAGTGGAGGGAGGAGTTGTGATCCCTCACAGCTCTGTGGGTGAGTCTCTGTGAGTGCAGGTTAAGGGAGAAGAGCTCCTTTGTGTCCTTCACATACATGTCCTGATTTACCCCCTCTGCCGAGGGACCTTCACGAGCCCATCAGCGACAGACAAAGGAGAATACAGTTGTGCTCAGGGAGAGTCTCGAGCCCATAAAGATTAAAGCCCAAAACTTATTTCATATAGTTCAGGAAAAAAAAGACATGGCTTTTCACAAAGAATGTTACTGATACCATTCTCTGATCACAAGGAACAAAACTAGAAACGATTAACAAAACATTTTAAAAGGCCATTCCAGAGGGATATTATCCATGGTGGTGAAAAACGGGCACTGGTGGAGGGATGGGTATCTGATCATTGTATAATTGAAACCCAAGCACAAAAAATTGTAAATCTACAACTGTAAAAATAAAATAAAATAAAATAAAAAAATAAAAAAAAAATGCCATTCCAGGTAGAGCTTAAAGAAGCTTCCATGAGGCCTACTTTCCCTAATTTTAGGAAACATCTACACGGGATAAAAGAGGGAGGTGAGCAAAAAATTGCAACTAATTCCAACTTGACACTATCTTATCACGATGCAATAAAAGCATAAAGTAAAAACCCCAAGATTAAACAACCAAATTGGTAAAATTTTTTGGAAAAAACCCCAGCAAATCCAAAAATCATGGCACAAAAAGCCAAAAAAAATCCAAAAAACCCCAAAAAAACAAACAAAAAAAACCCCAAACAAACCTCCCTGCCCAAACTTAAACCAAGGTCAAATAAACAAAATCTCCAAATGCTTTCATTAACTTGAGTCAAAGAGGAAATAAAATTGGAATGTTAGTCTACAGAGAGCAAAAACATGAAATTATAATCTGAAGCCTTTTATAATAAAAGACATTCTTAGCACCAACTCCTCATTCTTGTAAAAAAAAATGAATGGAGCAATTCAACTCACGAAAACAAAACAAGTCCTAGAAAAGCAGGTGTAACGGACTAGGAACAGTAGAGTAGTAAATAGGAAAGAAACTGGGTCAGATACAAAAAAATTCGAGAAAAAAAATAAGATTTCTGGTCAGATTAATTGAGAAAGAAAGAAAACATATTTCAGCAAGCAAAGTTGGAGAATTATTTTTAAAATTGGCAAAATAAAGGTATTTCCCCTCCTTCTACTCTGCTTCTCCAAACTCTCCAAAAACAACCCAAAAGAATGTGATGAGGGGCTGGAGTGACAGTCCAGTGGGCAGAGCATTTGCCTTGCATGCGGCCGACCCGGGTTCAGTCCCTGGCATCCCATATGATCCCCTGAGCACCGCCAGGAGTAATTCATGACTGCAGAGCCAGGAGTAACCCCTGAGTATCGCCGGGTTTGACCCAAAAAGAAATAAAAAAAAGAATGTGATGAATTCTGCAGTGAGTGTGATATTTCCTTGATTTGGAGAGTGTCTGAGATCACATAGGACTGCTGGAGCTGGGCTGGAAGAGAGTGCGGTGCAGGGCTGGGGGTGGCAGGGTTTGGCACATTCAAGACCTGGAGGTGATCCCTGGCGTTATGTGTCCCCTGGGCAAGGAGGGAAGATAAATCTGAGACCCAGGACTCTAGGTATGGTATGACACAAAGATCATAAAAGGGAAACTAACATGCAGGAAACATCCTCCAGGAGGGCTATTTCTAAACCCATTTTTTAGGTTTGAAGAACTGGAGCCCAAGAAACAAGATAGACTGCAATACCCCAAAATTCCTGCAGAGGGCACCATGCACCTTTGAGCCCCCAGCCAGGGCCCAGGAACAGCCTATTGACAGCTTCCTGGAGAGCATTTGAGAGCTAGGAAAGCATCAATGACACAGATTTAGAGGGTGTTGCTTGGAAAGCATCTGATGACAAGAGTTCGGCAGCCATGTTGCAAGTTTCTTAGTTTCTTTTTCTTTTGGGGAGGGGGGGCACACTCAGCAGGGCTTACTTCTGGCTATGTGCTCAGGGATCACTCCCGGTGGGGCTCAGGGGCTCATATGGGGTGCCAGGGATTGAACCTGGGTGAGCCACATTCAGGGCAAACACCCTACCCGCTATAATATTGCTCTGTCCTCTGCTATGCAAATTTCTTTAGGACCCCTGGTTCTGATGAGCAACCCAGGCTGCAGGTCTGGGGAAGGGAACAGGGGTGGGGAACCACAGCTGGGGGCAGGCTAGAAGTGTTTCCTCTACTCTCACATTGTGGGCTCTCAGCCTCCTAATTAGCTCTCAGAGTGTTTCTGTGGAGCCTCATGCAACTGGGACTATCAGCCCATCGCGGTCAGACACAGCAGCCAAACGAGGGGTGTGGTGCAGGGGTGTGGCCAGGTCAGTGGCCCACAGGAGACCATGGGAGGGCATCAGGACAAGGGTGAGTGGGAAGGCTGTCCCCTTTTTTCTGGGAGAGGAACTGGGCTCACCTCTGTGAAGAGGGGGGCTCAGGCAGGCTCCCCTGGGGAAACTGACAAGGCATTAAGGACAGAGGGAGGGAGCTGGGCAGGCAGCACACGGCTGCAGGAGCTGGACAGTCTCTGGCCTTGCAGGAACAAGCCCCTGCCGAGTGTGGCCCCACACTGCACCACCACATCCCAGAAAGATCCATCAGGCCCATGGTGCTGAGCTGAGATTGGCTAGTGACCCTTGAGGCCTCCAGGAGGTCCCCCATAAGAAGAGAAAGGGCTGAGAAGGGAGGCCAGGCAGCATGGGAGATCTCGAAGGAAGGTCTCAAAGGGAAGCAGCTCAAGGCCAGGGAAACTCACTTCAAATTTCAGGAAGAGGCGGGGCCTCGCCCACATCCCAGCAGGCTGCAGCCCCAGGCACAGCTCTGACAGTTCAGCTGTTTTTCTTCCTCCTCCTTTTTTGTTTTTGGGTCACATCGGGTGGTGCTCAGGAGGTATCCTGGCGGGGCTTCGGTTGCGTACCAGGATTCATACGGGGTCAGCCACATGCAAAGCAAGTGCTCAGCGCGTGATTTAGCTGGTATCTGTGAATCGTCTTCCAGGGAGCAGCCACCACCTCATTCAGGCTGCTGCTGAACCACAGGGCTCAGCTCCACTCCCCACCTGCACACCTCTGGCTTTCCAGCCTTGCATGATTGTTAGCAAGCACACACGTGTGCACACGCATGTATGCACACAGACACATGCATGAGTGTATTCACATGCGTGTATATCTGTGCGTGAACATACATGAGCATATACACACATCACACATGTGCCTGTGTGTGCACGTGTGAGTGCTCTGTAGGACACATGTGTCAGAGATGCGCGGTCAAAACCAGCTTTGCGACGCCTGCCTCTTTCAATGAAATGTGTGTCGGGCTTTTATTAAATCATAGAAAATTCATTTGCATACAAATCTTTGGACTTTGGAGAAACCAGATTCCCCAGCTGCCTGGTCACAGAGCACTGGAAAGAAACTCTCATTTCAGGCAGGACAAATTTTCAGGGCCTGACAGCCTTCTCTAGAATACAGAAACATTCACAGGCAGGCCTTCCTCTGCCTGTGAGGCCCAGGAACCAGCTCTCTAAGAATTCCGTGCTTTTGATGATGTTCTTCGTTACTTAAATCAACCAAACGTGTGGAGGACAGGTGACCCAAAGTCTTGCTGCTGTTCAGCCCTGAGGAGCATGCAGTTGCTGGAAGAGCCTTCCAACAAATTAAGTATTAAAACACAGGGTGAGGCTACGATGTCCTCCCTTCTCTTCTACCACGTGAGTCTGAAAGTCCATCCCTTGTGAAAGGATATGGAGCACACATACTCCTCTCCCTGTGTGGCCGAGCTCCTCCACATGGCCAGCACCCACTGGCTGGGGTCTGGAGGTGAGGCCAACTCCCATTTGGCTACAGACACCCGGGGTCACCCCACATTCAAACATAAACACAAGTTAAATACCATCCAAATCATTTTAAATTAGGGCCAGAGACACAGCACAGTGGGGCCGGCATTTGCCTTGCACATGACAGACTCTAGTTTGATCCCCGGCATCCCATGTGGTTCCCCAAGCGTCACCACGCGTCATTCCTAACGGCAGCGCCTGACTGCAAGTCCTGAGCCCTGCTGGGTGTGGCCCCCAAACAAACCCAAAAAAGCATTTTAAATTAAGTAGAGTCACTTGTCTGTCCTGTAGCGCCTGGACTGTGCCAGCTGGCTTCTGCAGATGTGGGCAGAACAAAGATGGACTCCCTTGGAGACAGCACAAGCTGGCTAGTGAAGGGCTGGCAGGAGCCCCTGGCGAGATGGGCAGTTGGGGAATCCCCACCCCCCATCACTGGGGGAGGCCCATCATCGGGGAGGCAGCCAAGCCCCTGTGCAGGTTGGGGTTTTGACTGTGCCGGTTCCGGCTGCGAACAGATGAGAACATGGTGCCGCAGCCCGGGACCTTGCAACGGTGCAGCTGGCGGAGGTGGACGGTCTTGTGGTGGGCCCGGAAGGTGCCCTGGCTGCTGTAGGTTTTCTGGCACAGGTGGCATGTGATACCCAGACTTGGGTCGGCCTTGGGCAAGGGCACGTAGAGCAGGGAGCTGTCCTCCGCAGGGGCCAGGCTCGGGGCTCCCTCACCGTCTCCATCGCTGTCCTCCATAAGCACTGTCCCTTCCTCGCTCACCCCGTCCGAGTCCCAGGATGAGTGGCTGCTGCCCGACTTGGTGCTCCAGGTGGTACTCAGGTCCAGGGCGGTGGCCTCGCTGGGTGCCCCCGAGCTCAGGCCCTCCAGGGGATGCACCAGGCTGCCTGTCCTACTGGCCCCCTGGAAGATGGCGGAGGGCTGGGAGGCCGGCTGCGGGGCCACCGCGTCCTGGTGGGCCTCTGGTGCTGAGCCTCTCAGAAGGCAGTCCCCGTGGAAGGGGTCAGCACTGCTGTCCAGGGCTTCGCATGTCCATGCCTTCTGGTGCAGGTTTAGGTTCGAACTGTGTCTACAAGAGCAAAAAGAGCGTCAGCGACGGGTTGCTGCTTGAGGAAGGTGGGATTCAGCGTGAGACTCGGGAGCGGGCAGTACAGCCTGGACCCAGTGCATTTTGTGGGTGCTGGCCCTCAGTGTCCTGCTGGGGGATGGGCACCATCCCAGGGGAGCGTTACAGTGGGAACTGGCCAGTCTGGGCCACTGCTCCAGTGCCAGCATGCCATGGTATGGAGGGGTCCCTGTGTTCCACCAGCAGGATGGCCAGACCCCGTCCCTAAGAAGTGAGAGCTCCCAGGAGGGTGGTCACAAGCGTGAGGGACCAGGCGGGGACTTGATTCCGTTGAATGCAGGGACAGGTGAAACACACTGGTTTCGGAGCTGTTCAAAGGTGCTGTGACATTTGCAAACGGTATTTTGGACAGGCTGAGTGAAGTAAGATGTACTATTAAAGCTGGTTTTTCATAACTTTTGAATTAATTAATCACAGAATCTGATACACCTGTGGCTGAGAGGGTCGGTCGACCTGATGGGGTTCAGGGGCTCTGAGGTGTCAGGGATCAGACTCGGGGTCTGTGAGTCACCTCCTGGGCCACGTTTGTGGCCCTTTCGCTCACCCACGGCTGTGCCCCAGCGGTCCCCTACCTCCTCTAGGTCCTCACACACGCACTGCAGTATGTCCCCTGGGACAGTCCCCAGTGTCACTCAAATGTGGCCGCCTCACCTGTGTCTGCTCCTGGGGGATGCGAAGGTGGCCCCGCAGCTGGCCCCTGCGCAGGTGTGAGGCTCCCGTGCATGCATGTGCTTCTGGTGTATCTTCACCCCGCAGGCATTCTTGAAGCTCTTCTTGCACACGCCACACTGGAAGCGAGGCTCCTCCCGCCTCCCCAGAGCCTGCGGGTTCGGTGGCTCGGGCTCTGCAGAGCCCTGGAAGCACGGGAAGGCCACGGCGCCGTGGGCCAGAGCGCCCAGGAGCCTGCCAGGCAGCAGGTGCTGTTGCAGCTGCACGTAGCCGGGGAAGGGGGTGCAGGTCTCCAGAGCAGGGGGCAGGCGCAGCTCACGGCCTCCTGCCTCCACCTCCCCTGCTGTGACGGTCAGTGTTGGCTGCAGTTCTGCATCACTCTCGGAGTGGCCAGGGGCTGCACTGGGCCCAGGCCCCGAGTCAGCAGGGTAGGGCTGGTCTCCTACGGAGGGGGGCGTCCCCAGGCCCCCTGGGGGCGGGCACTGCTCCTCTGGGGAATGGCGTGAGTCCGGCCTTCGGCCCTCAGACTGGTACTCACTGTCCTCATCTGAGCTGAGCCGTTTGTCCTGGGCGCGGTCTGCGGCCTCGGGCTCGATTTTGATGGGCACGCTGGACTTGCGTGATTTCTTTTTGGGCAGCACCTCGTTGGCCACCGGTTGCTCGGGGACTGCAGAGGACAGCAGGGGCAGTGAGGGCAGCCCACCAGGGGTATTGGCCAGCTCGTCTGGGGCTGCGGGGCTGTGGTAGAATGGCAGGACAGGCCGCACAGACTTGAGGTGCGGGAAGAGGTCGCCGTTGGGCTGGGGACTCGGGAAGGCAGGCTGGCCCCTGGGATCATCGGCAAGGCCCGGGCGTGGGCGGCTGTCCAGGGCGACCAGGCTTAGGCCATTCTTGAGGTCCTTGTCCCTGTTGTTCCTGTTCATGGGCATGTGCAGGCGGGGGTTGGGGTTGGCACTGTGGCGGTTGCGGCTTCTCAGAGAACTGAACACCATGTTGCAGCCCTGCACGGTGCACCGGTGCTTGATCTTCAGGTGCACGGCATTGTAGTGGATCTTGAGTGTGCCCTTGTCATAGAAGGTCTTCTCACACGCTGAGCAGAACACGCGGCCCTTTTTGGGGCCCAGCCCATTCTGCTCGGGCCTCACCTTGGCCTCGGGGGATGCTGGCACCCGCTCGAGCTTCATGATGACGGGGAAGGAGCCCGAGCCGCCTAGCTGGGCTACGTCCTCCTTCTTAGGGGCAGCATCCGGACAGCTGAGACATGGCTTCTTCTCCTGGCATGGCGCGGATGGGGAGGACAGGAGGCGACCGCCGTCAGGGAAGGAAGCGCGTGGCTCCCGCTGGGGCTCCTGGGCGGTGTCCTTTGGCTGCTGCAGTGTGAAGTGGTCAGGCACAGAGCCGATGAGCGCCGGTGGCACTGGGTTGAAGAACTGGAAGGGCAGCATCCATGTGACGCCGTTCAGAAGGTTCTCGAAAGGGTGGATGCTGCTGGGGTGGCCGTGGTCCAGGGGCCCAGGGAGGCCAGCGCTGCGGGGCCCGGCGCTCTCGATGAAGGCCCTGATGTCCACACTGGCAGGGGAGGGGGGCGTGACCACGGCCTGCTCCTCCTTCTCTTGGATGGCCATGAGCTCCACGATGGACTTGGTCTCCCCGAAGCGCAGAAACTGCTGCAGCGTGGCCAGCTCCTCCTCACCCGTCATGATGCTCCAGTGCTCCAACACCTTTCCTGATGCATCCTAAGTCCAGCATGGAAAAAAGCAGTGAGGCCAGGTACTGCCTGTCAGCAAGGACCACCCTCCTCTCCCGGGCCAGGCTGCAAAGGACCAACCGCACAGGTGAGGTGGGGGTCCAGGAGAGAGAGAGGGACACTGGGAGCCATTTCCCACCTTATTCCCACGCCACCAGATGCCATGCAATAAGTACTGTAGTTTTCCTTTTTAAGGCAAAAATATGGGGTAGGAGATACCGTCCAGGTTTTAGGCACTTGACTTGGACGGGATCGGTCCCAAATGAGGTCCCCTGAGACCCATCAGGGGTGATTCCTGAGCACCAGGGGTGTGGCATTCAAGCTGAAAATAAGTATCAAATGAACAATAGTAGCTTCTCTAGCTAAAGAGTTCAGATGGTGATGTGGACAGAGTATTTATTCCCTTCAAGTTTGATCATCTTCCCAAGTTATTCGCATCAGAAAACTATGAACATGTATTGATCTATGGCCCGTGCACAGAGTGGGGCAGTAATTACACTGGAGTGTTGGAAATCTTTCAAACTCTAGCAAGGCCTAACTTTTCCCAAAACTACAATAAATATTTTATCACAGAACATGTATTTGATGGCCTACTGAGATTTTTCACGGTGCATGTAAGGGTTCTGAAGACGATGAGGAATGGAACGTCATAAATTTTTCATGTGCTGGAGGTTCAAGGTAATTGATTCCATATTTTTAATACTAACACTAGAAAGCAAGATGATTAGGATCATTAAATATTGATCTGTGTCATAATGTAAGATCATAATACTGCTCCACAGAAGAGCTAGAGCCTGACCGGCCGGAGGCCAACACAGGAGCTGGGCAAACAAGGAAGTCAAGCTCTGGGTTCGAGTTCTGTGTGCCACCGGCAAGCTGCGGATGCACCCACAACCTCACTTCACAGGGTCTCTGTCCACTTGGCCGCTGGGTTTCAGAGGAGAGTCATCGCCCACAAATGGTTGTTATTAGTGTCCGTCTGAAAGATGTGGTACTTCTGGGAGGTCAGAGGGTCACAGACTCAAGGGAACTTGTCTGTTCCCCTACTTTATTGCCTGCTATTTATTTGTTTTTGGGGCCATACCTGGCGGTGTTCAGGATTTACTCCTAGCTCTGTGCTCAGGGATCACTCCTGGCATGTTCTAGGGACCATATGGGGTATGGGGATTGAACCTGGGTCAGCCTTGTGCAAGATAAGTACTCTCCCTGCAGTGCTACTGCTCCAGCCCTCCTTTTAAGGGGGCATTCCAAGCAGTGCTCAAAGGACTCGGGGTCACACCCAGCATACTCAGCTAAATGGATTGGTTGGTCCAAAACTCTAGACTGAGCATCTTGGGTCCCTGGATACTGAGGACCACTGGAGCCAAGTGCAGTGGACAGTGGGGGAACTGGGACCCCACCTGGCACCAGTGGGGGGCACCATATGGCACTGAGGCTCTAACTGGGGTGCTACCTGCGTACCCCAAGCCCTGAGCTATGTCCCCTGCTCCCTTACTGGCCTTTTAGCCAGAGTGAATCGATATGACCCATAGCAGAAGCAAGAAAGAGCAGAGCCAGTGTCTGTGCCAGCGAGGAGAGAGATCCCTTTCGGGGAACACGCTTGCTGCTGGGAAAACATCCCCCCCCTCCCTCCAGCTCTGAAAGGCCAGCCCGACTCCAGCCTGGGCGGCTGTAAAGTGGAGAGAAGAGAAGGGAGGAGGGTGGGAATGGGCAGAGGTGGGCACTGGGGAGAAGGCGGCACTGGGCAGGAGAGCTGTGGTGGGGAGCCGGTGGACTGGGGGGTCCTTCCTCATCCCCAAACCCTCAGCGAAATTGGGAATAAACAACACAGGGTTGCGGAGAGATAAAGAGGCACATCCGTGGGGCCCATACCTGCAGGACGTAGCCCCGGATGTAGTCCTGAAGAGTCCAGTCCAGGGCATGCAGGATGCGAAGGACCTCGTCCTGCTTCAGCACACTGAAGAGCCGGTCCAGCAGGATCTTCAGGCGGACGGGGACGGCCTGGGTCCCGTATAGCATCAGGCTGCTGATGTCAAACACCACATTGGACTGGACGATCTCCACCTGGCTGGCGGGGAGCCTCAGCTTACTGAGCGCTGAAAGGTGGGAGGAAGGGGGGAGTGTGTTCACACCATGCCGCCTGCAAGCCAGAGGAACCCCACTATTGCCTGGTATGGGACACAGTCTCGGAGATGTCAGGGACAAAGGGTGCCAGCCTGAGACCCCGCCCCCCCCCGCTCCCCTGTCCTGAGGCATCCCTTCAGAGAATGGTGCCACCCTGTGCATAGGAAGAGGGCAGTGCTGGGGGAGGAGGGCAGAGCATCAGGACACAGTCCGGAGCTGGCCCTGGAGTCCAGCTGGTGTGGCTTTGAGCCGAACCTTCCGCCTTTCCATTGGGCTTGGCGCGGGCAGCCTTCCATGTCCACGCTAGCCAGCGTACTGGTCTCTGCCCACGTGGCTCCTTCAGTCTAGACTGAACTTGGAAACCAGAAAAGCTGCCAACACTTGGCAGCTCAAGTTCTCTGGCTCACAGGGCAGAAGGATGGGGGTTGGGGAGGGCAGTGTGCCAGGATGGACACTTTAGGTGCATGGTGGCTAAATGGGTCAACTGACTTAGGGGGACACTATGGTTCATCTGAAATTGACCTCTGAGGGAGAGTCTGTCACAGACCCAGTGGGGAGGCTGTTGCATCCTGTAGCAGATGGAGCTTCTGGTACTGATGACAGAATGGAAGCACCACTTACAATACCCTCGAATGGACTGATGCAACGCCGGAAACCATGGCGTTTCCAATCTAAGAGAGAATATCTCGGAAACTTGGCTCGAGATGGCAGGCCACAGTCGTATCTACATGCTAGCTAAAATGTCACTCAGCTACTGGGCTGCGTACACCGGGCCAAGAGGGGAGACTCGTTACCGTGGGCCACCCAGCCATGTCTGCACTGCTCACACTGGCGGTGATTTATTTTTGCCGGTTTGAAGCTCAGGCACGTGCAGTTGAGAGTACAGCCGATAGCCTGCAAGAGAATACAGCAGTACTGTCAGCTAGAAATGCATTTCCTAAGTATTTATTAAAGTATTCCTACAGTAATACTCAAGTATTTGAGTATTTGACAAAGTATTTTAAAGCAATGCTCAAGTATCACTAAGTATTTAACAAAGTGTCCCTCAGAGTAATGCACAAGTATTGACAAGTATTTATTAAAGTACCCTGAAAATAATACTCAAGCTTAACAGTAATACGTAGTATTTACTAAAGTTCAGGGTAACCACGGAGTGGTGTGTATGAGTGTGTGTGTGTGTGTGTTATGAGTGTGTGTGTGCGCACACGTGTTTGTGTGTGTGTGTGTGTGATGAAAAAGCCTGGAAATGAGGGGCAATGAGGAGCTTAAACTCCTGCTCCCTCTCCTCTCTGGAAAGAAAGATGGCGGCCACATGGGAGCCTTGTGGACAGCAGGTATGAGCCGGGAGTGTGGGGGCGACTAAAACCTCATGGGAAGGGGGGCGTTTCGCTCCGCCCTTCACGCCCTACCGAGGCCACGGGTTGCCCCCCGCGAGCGGCTCTCCAGCACGGCCACGACTCCAGAACACAGAAACCAATTTCTTAACTATCTGACTTTCAGTAGAAATACTTCCAGGGTCAATAGGTAAAATAGCAGAAATCCAAAACCAACATTTAATTCTTGAACCCAGCTGTAGAAAGCAAATCACTTCACAATGCTTTTTCAGCATGTCTGATTTGGGGGGGGTAAACTCTAAATAATAGTGGTGAATCTTTTATTGAAACAATGAATCTAATCAAAGCAGATAGAGTGTTAACTAGAATTCATCTGCCTCACAGGGACGGGGAGGGGTGGGGGGTGGGGTTTTATTGGGGTTCTTCATGGTAAAAAATAAGTATTGGTAAAGGGAAATGTGTTTGATATTTGCATGACTGAGACATAAACCTGAAAGCTTTGTAACCTTTCCCACAGTGATTCAATAAATTAAAAAAAAAAAAACTCCTGCTCCAGTAACAGGACTCAGTGACTATGAGTGGGGTTCCTAGGAAAGGGGCCCCAAGGCATGCCCTGATTTTCACTTAAGTGTACACTGGTCCTGGGACCATGACTTGCAGTGATTTGCAGTGTCCATTTTGGAAAGATTGTGGAAGATCACAGGAAGATGAAACAGAATCACGTGGCAATTTCACAGTGCATGGGTGTCCCAGGGAAGTAAGACTATGAAAGCCTGTGCTTGGCATTCATGGAACACAAATTCCAAGAACTGGAGAGCGGGAATCCTGGCATCAGCAACCAGGCGAACCAGGGCAGGGTGGACTGGCAGGCCAAGGGCTGCAGTACTGAAGTGGCTGTCACAAGGACAGGCCCAGAAACACAAGGGTGGGACCAGTCACGTGCTGGAAGTGACAGGTCAACAGCTCCTTGTTCACAGAACGTCATGAACCACCAGTCCACAGAGGCTGATGTGGCTCCAGGGACAGGGGAGTTGGGGTTAACGACAAGCGACTGCTTTGAGGTGGGAGTGCAAAGGAGATTCTTAGCTTGTTTCTGTCTTTGAGAATGGCTTTACACAGAGCTACAATTCACTCAACAGATGCGGGATCTGTTTAACAGGCTTAATTCTACTTTTTTTAGGAGATCCACAGTCAGGAGTCACAAATGCACCAACACGCAACAGCCACAGATTCATCGGTGTAGTGATAGTTGACTCGATTGGAAGTCTTAGGAGAGTACTGGCTTACTTTCTGTCGTCCACTGTAGAAACGAGGCAAAAGGGCCCCTTCACCTGATCCAGGCCCTGGCCTAGGCCCTGGCCGTCCCCAGGGCCCTGCAGCTCTGGAACAGGAGCGTGCAGAGAACCAACCCTCAGCTAGCTCTGCCTCTGGCAGGAGAACACAGTGGCATCGTCCAAGGCATGATCCCCTGAGCACTGAAGGCCACTAGGAAGCTCCTGTTCCAAGGGGGAGGGGGACACATGCTGCTCCCTCACTGGAAACAAGGCCTCCTCGTTCTGCCCAGGCTCTGTCCATCAGTCTCTGTGCCCCGAAGACTGCCCAGAGGATGGCCCTTCTGCAGTGTCCTCAGGACTGTGCTGGGGGAGGGGGTACTCAGGCTACGCTTCGCTACTCAAGGCTGAAGTGCCTATTGTCTGGAGTCTCCTGACACCCCCCATACATGGGGTTTCTCAGCCAGCACTGGGCCTGCTGGGAGAGACAAGGCAGGATGTGGCAGGAAGTGGCATGTGGCACGCAGTGCCTGGGAGTTGGGTCTCACCCACAAAGGGCAGAATGGAAGCCAATGCCTCCTGAAGCTGTTGCAGGGGCCCCCACAGGACAGGCTGTCTGCAGCAGGCCCTCCAGTCTGGCTACTTTGATTGATTTATTTTTAGTAGATTCCAATTCTAAGCAGCTTTGAGCTATTATCCAATGTGCATGAATGTAAGAAATATTTGTGGGGTTCTATGGGAACCTCTTTGAATAAGGGTTCGTAAACCTCATTAAGCATTACAGAAATAAATTTAGAGGAACTATTTTAAACTAAAAAAAGTCAACCTAATTATAGTGGCTAAGAAGACATCCCATAGCAAGGCCCTCGGGATTTTCCCATTTCAGAATCCGTGATGGACTGAAATCATAGCACCATTACCTGAAGATAGATCAAAACTTCCAAGATGAAATAAAAATGAGGCAGGCAGCCCCCAACTCCCATGGCAATGAGTTTCTTAGGAAGTAATAAAACCAACTAGCCCTAATGTTGTCAGGGCCCACCTTGTGGAAACAGGAAATAAGGCCTAAGAAGACCTTTGCCTGGTGCTAACACAGACCCTGAGAAGGTTGGCCCACTCTGAGAGAAACTCTGGCTGGAACAATGGCGAGGAAAGTAATTTCTTTTTATTTATTTATTTATTTTTAAAATTTATTTATTTATTGAATCACTGTGGGAAAAGTTACAAAGCTTTCAGATTTAGGTCTCAGTCATGCAAATATCAACACATTTCCCTTTACCAATACTTATTTTTAACCGCGAACCCCAATAGAACCCCACCTCCCACCCCTCCCAATTCCTGTGAGGCAGATGAGTTCTAGTTAACACTCTATCTACTTTGACTAGATTCATTGTTTCGATAAAGGATGCACCATTATTATTTAGAGTTTACCTCCCCCTCCCCCAAATCAGACATGCTGAAAAAGCGTTGTGAAATGATTTGCTTTCTACAGCTGGGTTCAAGAATTAAATGTTGTTGTGCGGCCGCAATAGCGGCCGCGTGGTTTTGAATTTCTGCTATTTTACTTATTAACCCTGGAAGTATTTCTACTAAAAGTCAGATAATTAAGAGATTGGTTTCTGTGCTCTGGAGTCGTGGCCGTGCCGGAGAGCCGCTCATGGGGGGCAACTGGTGACCTCGGTAGGGCGTGAAGGACGGGCCGGAACGCCCCCCTTCCCATGAGGTTTTCGTTGCCCCCCGACCCCCGGCTCATACCTGCTGTCCACAAGGCTCCCATGCGGCCGCCATCTTTCTTTCCAGAGAGGAGAGGGCGAGTGGAGCAACACCCTTTCCCCTCCGGGCAGGCATGGCGTGGATTAATGGAAAGTAATTTCTTTTTCAATCAATCAATCACAACCATCCTGTTATTTGTCGATTGCCTTGAGCAGGCCCCAGTAACATCTCCTTCGTCCTAGCCCTGAGATTTTTTGAAAAAGTGCCATATTCAAGGCTCTTTCAGAGTTAGGAGAATGAGACCCATCATTGTTTCTGGTATTTGGCATATTGGGTACGCCACGGGGAGTTTGCCAGACTCTGCCGTGTGGGCAGGTTACGTTCGGTAGCCTGCCAGTTTGTCCAAAGTAGGAATGAGATGATAAGATGTCGCGCAGCCGCAAATGTGGCCGCATGCTTCCGGGAGCTGGGTTTTATAGTCTCTGAGTCTTGGCCATTGATGGGATTACATGGCTCCAGGGGGCCAGTTGGTGGGTGTGACCCCCGCCTACTGGAATTTGGAGGATCTGGGTGGAGGATGCTCAGCCCCTATCCAAGTAGGCTAATTTCTTTTTAAACATTTATTTTTGGGGGGTCACATACCGGCTCAGGGGTTATTCCTGGCTCTGCACTCAGGAATCACTCCTGGTGGTGCTCTGGGGACCATATAGGATACCTGGGATAGAACCTTGGTCAGCCGTGTGCAAGGCAAATGCCCTCCCTGCTGAGCTATCACTCCAGCCCCCAGGAAAGGAATTTTAAAGTAGACCACCAACTGCTTCCAACTCTTCCCCCTGGCAACCACCCTTTCAACAGACTCTTACCTAGGTAGAAAGCCCCAGGTGTGCAGCTTGGAAGAAACCCTATAAAAGTCAACTTGAACAAAGAACACACATACGCTGCCTGAGCCCATGTGCCCCCTGTGCTCATGTGTTGTGCCCAAGCACATATGTGGCCTGCATCTCCCCTCTTGAGATGTGTACATTCATGCTTTCCTATCTAACACTGGGATGTACACTGGGGCTTCCTCTCCACTCCGGAGAAGCCTGCATTCTCTCTTGAGTACATTACTCTTTCTCCCCCTCCCTTCCCTTCCTTAAAACCTACAAATAAAATGTATGTTTTTTTTTTAACGTCATAGCTCGTCTCCTCCTGAAATTCTTTTCTGAGAGAAGGATCCAAAAGGCCTTGGTAGGGCCTAGGACTGACTTTCCTTTCCTGCCAAAAGCAGTTCCCTGTACCAGCAGGAGTCCACAGCTTTCAGAGAGATCGGTTGGTGGGATTATCTCTGAGGCAGTGCAGAATGAGTGGACATGAAGTGTGGCTTGATGGCTGCCTAGGGGCTCTGGCAGGACATGAGGTCTGTGTGGTGCAGGGGATCACAGCACACTTTATCAATCCTAGATTTCCCAGTCAGTCCCGGGGTGACAAAGGTGGATCGGGAGAAAGCGGAAGACCTCCTCTTTCAGGCTGCCATCTCTCCTCTTCACTTTACTTAAGTCATCTGGGGATTCCACAGGCATCAACCCCCCCCTCCCAAATTAGTTATTTTTAATTT